CTATTCTTCTGTATTCAGTAAACTCTTTATTGTACTTAGAAACTTCAGACTCTGTTGCTTTATCTCCTGAAGGTGCCGGTTCTGTTATAGTTCCTTCTACAATTTCTTGAGCTCCAATAGTACCTACCTCTAAAAAGTGTGCATACCAAATCTCCATGTGGACCAATTCGGTTTACCTTCTAAAAGTCCAATTTGTATTTTTGTAAGCTCCATTTTCAACGACTTTTGTGTGTAACGTTTTATCGCAAATTTTAGACTACTTTCGACAAAATGGCGTACCTGGGCCCATAACCTGTTGAAGTTACACCAAAAAGATGAATACTCAATGAATACAAATTTAAATGAACTTCTTTATTTTAAAAAGTTGTTGATGGGAAATTCAGAAATTAACCAAGATGAAAAACGAAATTTACGAGACAGATCCAAAATTTAAATACCGCAACGATTTGACGAGTTTGTAAAGTCTGCAATAGCTAGTATGGATGGCATAATTAAACCATCTTCTTATCTAGAAGCTATTAACTGTACAGACAAAGAAGAGGAGTGGAAGAAAGCCATGGATAAGAAAATTACGTCTTTAAAGGAAAGTGAAACTTGAACACTGGAAGACCTTCCTGTAGGAGTAAAACCACTTCCAAGTAAATGGGTCTTTAAAGTAAAAACGAATCCAGATGGCTCTATTGATAAGTACAAAGCTTATCTAGTAATTAAAGGATTTGCCCAAAAGAAAGGATTAGATTACAATCAAACACATTTGGTCCTGTAGCTAGAACTGGAACTATAAGACTTATACTAATCATTGCAGCAAATAAAAAGTTGACACTAAGTCAATTTGATGTGTCAACTGCCTTTCTTTATGGTGCACTTGAAGAGACTATATTTATGTATCAGTCTAAAGGATATAGTGATGGATCTGACAAATATTGTATATTACAAAGAAGTTTATATGGACTAAAACAAGCGCCTCTTTGCTGGAAACGACGGGTCGTAGGCTTTTTAGAACGTTACGGATTTGTAAGAAGTGCAGCAGACCTTGCCTTTTTATTAAAATACGTACTTTATGTTGACGATGGTCTTATTGCTACGACTCACCCTAAGAGTTTTCAGATTTTATTAAAAAACTTAAGTCTGAATTTAAAATCACATTGAAGCCTGCTACTTATTTTTTGGGAATTGAGTTCGAGAAAAAGAAGGACAGCTCAATCAAAATACACCAAAAGGCATACCCAGAGAAAATTTTGGAAAGATTTAATATGGACAATTGTCGACCAGTTTCAACGCCTATTATTAAAGATTGTTCTCAGTCAGGGAAAGTTGAAGAGGTAAATGGGCCTTCTTCGGAGTTTCCCTACAGACAAGCTGTACCTAATGGTAGACACGAGACCGGACATAGCATATGCACTAGGTGTTATCTCGAGATCGCTAGAACATCCTTCAAAAGAAGATGTAATAAAGGTGAAACGTATATTTCGTTACCTTCAAGATTTAAAGCTACAGTGATGCTGACCGGCGATACATCTACTGGACGATCAACATCGGGTGTTGTTTGCCTTTATTCAGCAGGTGCGTTGAGCTGGTTGAGTCAAAAACAAACTTCAGTAGCTATTCGACTACAGAATCTGAAATCGTAGCTGTCAGTGAAGCAGCTCGAGAAATTGTTTGGCTCAAACCTCTTTTGATGGAAGTTACCCAGTTGAAGGTTATTCCCGAACTTCAAATTGAAAACAAAGCTGCTTTGAAGTTAGCTTAAAATACCGAATTTCATAAACATATTAGGACACGACATTTTTTTATTAGAGAATTGGTATCAGATAGAGAAATTATTGTCAAGAAGATGTCATCTCAACTCCAGTTGACTAAATCAATCCCAAAGCCTAGATTACACAATCTCTGCCAAGGAATAGAACTAAGTGACTAAATGAAAACTATTTTCTCTTTGCTTTAGCACTTATATATTTATGATATACACTTGTTACCTATAACAAAAAAAAATGACATTATTTTGTACATTGAATGTCAGCAACTTTTTAAAATAAAGAAGTACATTTAAATTTGTATTCATTGACTATTCGTCTTTTTAGTGTAACTTCAACAATTATTCTTGTAATTAGGCCAATAGGATAAATAAATAAGGAAAACCAGGGACGCCTGCTCTCTTTATCATTTCCTCGCGGCGTCTATGAATTTATAATATCAATAATTTTGACTGACATTTCAATTCAAGGCTGCTTCCACTATAATCTCCATGTTCAATTCTCACAAAGACCACAAAGCATCCTTTTCATTTAAATAATGTCGATTCGGTCTATATATGCACATAAAGCGACACACTGTGCCGTATTGGCCTTACATATTCAAATCAAATTAGGTTACTTCAATTACCAACAATTTATTAATTAATCTATCACGTCAAACCAATTACCAGTGATGTAACTGGAGTATATTCGCGATAATGGAAGTTAGGTTGTGACTGATGGTTCGGTTATTGGATTAGTGGGTTAAAAGCTTTTTTAAAGTTTAATAGAGGTTTTATTACTTTATTAAGGACTGGAATAGAAAGAAGTAAAGATAATGCGATATTACGAAAGTTGCTAGGTAATCTGGAGAGCTTGGTATAGTCAGACTTCGAGGATTTATGGATATGAATAAATGAATCTATTTGTTGAGATGTAGGGATTCGAATACGTATCCTTTTTTTATTCCTTTCATCTTAAATTTCCGTATAATAATATTACCTTATTGATTCTATTACAGTTATTGGGACCCTTTACCCGTATGATATAAAACACATAGGTTTTAGTTCTTTAATACATTTTTTACTAAGCGTGAATTGTAGAACAAAAGTAGTTACCTAAATATACTAATGTCTTTTAAGCAAAAAACTATTTATGTGATTAGTATTACAGATTACACACATATCGATACCTTTTTGCCAGACTATCGTAAGGGCCATTTGAACCAATGTCGCTTACGTTACTCTGGCAAAAAAGTATCAATATCATTAATTAAAAGTGTTGCTTCTATGATCGAGACTGTCACTTAAAGTGACATTTAATGTCAATCGGAGAAACCAAGAACGATTACTTAGGAGGTCCCACAAGAAAATGTACGTGGCCTTCTGTTTACTTTATACATAAACAGTTTATTGTAATTAAACAAAAAAGGAAGTGCAACTAGTTTCCCAGATGACCCCATTTTTATTTTAGATATCATTTAAAATTCACAAACATATGAGATGGGCAAATGACTGTACCTCAACGCAAGGCCAACTTCAAATAATAAAAATGTAATAGCCTTTCCACATTCAGCTACTTGGACATCTACCCATTAATCGCGTCAAAATGCCATCAGTTTCCCATCAGTTGATTGTTTGTTGGAATTAATAGACAACGTTAAATATGTAGGTAAATAACTATCCACGTTATAAAAATAGTGTAAAGATTTAAACATATTTTCAATAATTATTTAATTGATCTTAAATAATTGAAGTAGAAATTAGAGTATTTGTATTTTAATTTAGGTATTTGTCTCCTGTTTTAATTGTTAATTTATTTTCAGTAATATTTCACAAAAAATTAAAATAAAAAATGTATATATTGTTACACTTGCTTTTGGTATCACAATTTATTTTAATTCAACTTTAGAATAACTCAATTCAACTTTAACAATAACGATACAACTGATGACATTAACATGTAACGTTTCTCATAAAACTGAAAACTGACGTCAGGATCATCCTTATATAGCTTGCTTGACCCTTCTCGAACCTTCGCGAACTGTCGTCTAGAATATTCTTGACGGTTAATGATATTTCCAGACATTACTGGAATATTCTATCTTCTTTTACTTGTACTTTTACTTATAACGACCGCAGCCAGAGCTGCCAGATTCAGTACGTTTGTACTGAATTCAGTACTTTTTCAACTTTTTTAATACATCAGTGTTACGTTTTTAATTTTAGTACGTTTTTGTAAAAATAGTCAATTCAGTTCCATTTTCAGAACTATTTAGACACTTTTCGAAGAAAGTGATATATTTTATCAACAAAATAGTCAATTATGTACCATTATCAGTACTATTTGGAAATTTTTCGAACAAAGTGACGTATTTTATCAACGATTGATGACAGTTGACGGTTAAGTCATGTGATGTGGATGAGTAAAATAATTTATTTGAAATTTAAATTGATTGCACGGTTTGTTAGATGTAATTCGGAAAGTAAAATGGGACGTTTTTTGTTATACATAAAGAATATATAATTTAATAAAAGTGTAATAAATACCCCCAAGGAAATCATTTTTATTTCTCATATGTGCTCAGCCCATTTGTAAATGTTTCAAATTTTTTTATATAAAAGTCATTTAATAGTTAATGAATTTAAAGCTCTATCCATTTTTAATGTGTTGTTCGATTTAGTTAGTACATTTTCATAAAATATAGCTTTTTTTAAAAGTTGGTTATTCAGTACTTTTTTTTGAGATTCAGTACGTTTAAAAATGTTTTTCAGTACGATTTGTCAATTTCATTCTGGCAGCCCTGACCGCAGCACACTGTGTAGGGCGATGAGTAACATTCCACTTCTTTTTCTATCTGTACGTTTTCTATAATATCCGCAGGCTACTGCAGGGTGCTGCGTAACAATATTTAAGTATCGGAAAATTCTCTGTATAGAAAATTTTGTACATTTGAGACCTTCTTTTTAATATCTATATTAAATTGAATGTTGTTTCCTATTTTTTAAATAGATTTTATAGTTTCTTTTTGATATAAAATTATGGTTACCAAAATCACGGTTTGGGTACATATTATATTAATTTTTTAAAAGTATGTGCCTATACCTACACAAAAATTTTTGAATAAAAAGTTGTTTAGAATTAATTACATTTTAAGTTAAAATACAAAACGTAGAAAATCAATTAAATTTTTTAAATTTAATAAAGTTGCACACTTTGAAACACAGTGTATGTAAATGATTTTATATTGGACTAAAAATGGCGCCGTGGCAATACCTTCCGCTCTAGTTTACCGAGCGGCAGCGCATGTCAGTTCATTTTCATTTTATATCATTGATTGTGTCATACGAACTTCTCGTAAATGTTAACCTCAAAACTATCGTGCAGCGATTTTAATACATTTTTTACATAAAATAGTAATCTAACAAAGTGGAAATGAGCGACAAGGATAAATTTCAGTTGCTAGTGTTCGACGGCGACTTTTCTCTGCCCTCGATAGAGCCAGAAAGCATAAAATCAATACTCTACTGTACAGTGACTGGAGTCCCGATAGAAGTTAACACATTTAACAGTTATAAAACAGCATTTAATAAGGTACCGCCGGTTTTAATACATAAAAATCTTCGATTTAAAGATTATGAACAAATCGTTGCATATTTAAAAACTGTGAATTTCAACCTGGACAGTGAATTGGAGCCTTTAGAACGCAGTGAGTGCCTAGCAATGACCAATCTAGTTCAATCAAAATTAAAACCAGTAATAGAATTCAACTATTGGATAGAGCACAGGAATTCTAATGAATTAATGAATATATGGTTCATGAGAAGTCTTCCTATACCTTTTAATTATTATTATACAAGGCATTTCAGAGACAGAGCAACTGATTTCATGGAAAGTTTATACCCTAGTGAGACAGACACAGAGATAGTTAAAGAATACATACAGAGAGCAGCTATAGATTGTTTATCAAGTTTATCAGCAAGATTAGGTACCGAAGATTATTTTTATGGTAAAAAACCCACTTCATTAGATGTGACAATGTATGCTTATATTGCACCATTTCTTAAAATACCGTTTCCTTTAAACGAAATGAATAATGTTATCAGTATGTGGCCGAATTTGGTGAATCTAGTGAAGAGAATTGACAGCACGTACTTTCCAGAACTGCCAAAAGGTTCTAAATATTTAAAATTTGAAGATCAGGCTAAAACGAATGACGATGATGTATCCTATGCTGCTATTGTGATTTTGACTATTAGTGCAACTACTTTGATGTTAGGGTTTGCTTATACTAGAGGGTATTTGACTGGGAAAATGTTGAATTAAATGTAATTGTATTTATTGCCTGCCACCAAAGTTGTATTCATAGAAATATTCGAGTACTTATTGCAGTGTATGGAAATTTAAGTAAGTAAAGACATACTCAATTTCGAATGTTATTATATCTCTAGAAAATATATTTTTTTGTAAGTACTTACTAGTTTTTTGGTTATGGGTAGGTACTTAAGTAAAAATTGGATTGTAGCTAATTATTTTAAAATAATATCAAATATGCCAAATAATAACTATTGTTTTTTCTGTAGTGAGAAAACATTTTTTAAAATAGTGCCCTTGTAGATTTAATTTCAATGATAGACCAAGTTATTTATTGAGAGAACATGGTTCAAATAAATTTCTAAAACTATTAAAACTTTGTTATACTTGATTTTTCAATTAGGTAATGATGACATTTATTGAAGAACATCCATTTGGTACTTATGTGGCTTGTTAATCTTATATAGTGGCATGAAGGAAAAATTACATTATTTGAATAAGTATGCCTTGTCAGGTCTTTTCAATTATATATTATTCATACGTAGTTGTCAATATTTGTTTTCCTTAGGGTTTATTTTATACAGAGAAGGGAAAAATTATTTGGTTGGTTTCTGTAATCACTAAAAATGTGAATATTTGTAATTTTAAATTTTAAATAATTATTATAAACATTGGTTATAATATTTTTGAGATAAATGAAACACTAAAGCAATAGTACAATCAATCTTTAATGAAAACTTATTTAGTGACTGATTTCAGCTGTACTTACAGCTGGTTTCAAGCTTGTAATTTACAAAAACTACTTTAGGAATTATTGTGGTTATAAAGTGGTGGGAAGTGATACTAGGTATAATAAAAAACTATAAACTAGGGATGACAGCAACTCATTGGATATAAACATCTTAAGAGAGGTATGTGGTTCAAAAAATTTAAAAATTAGTTATAAAACATTATCGGTGTAAAGTTAACAGCCACTTTCCAGCAGTCAGTTTTCCTGGAAACACCTGAACTCTCAGTGGCATTGAAGTGTATTTTTCTGTGAAGAAAACATTGTATTAAAATAAAATTACCACTAAATTGTTGGGAAACAAAAAAGAGTTTAGAGAGAGGATGAAGGAGTAAAATGCAATAAAAATCGATTAAAAAAGAAGATAATAGGATATTGAAATAAAAAATACTGCCAAATTGTTGATAAATATAAAATACAACCTACAAAAATTAACAAAATCACTTAGGGAGGGGATGAAGGGGTCAAATTAAATAAAATTCTATTAAAAAATAATTTTTAAAGGATTTGAAGATAATTTTATATAGTGTGACCCCCTCATCCCCTTATTAAGTGATTTTGTTAATGTTTTTGGGTTGTATTTAATATTTGGTCCTAATTTTATATCAATACCCAATTATCTTCGTAGGCAAATTAATTTTTAAATAGATTTTTAATGGAACTTAATTTAATTTGACCCTCTCTCTCATCCCATTCCTTATTTTTTGTTTTGCATTTTATATTAACAATTTGGTACTATTTTTATTTTAATATCCTGTTAACTTCGTAGAAAAATTGTTTTAAGGACTTTTATTTCATTTTACCCCTTCATCCTCCTAAACTCTTTTTTTTTTGTTTCCTAACAATTTTTTGTGCATTCAACACCTTTTATTTGATGATAAACTATCTTTATTTGAACACTTGAACAAACAGTTTTTAAAAATAAACGGGCAAGGACAGACGCTCCTGTGCCGCCAAAGCTACATGACATGACTGTTGACTTATGTTAGTTATGTCATCAGTCAACTTAGACTAACTACTAACTAGACTTACACACAATTTAGTAGTAATTTTATTTCAATACACTGTTTTCTTTACAGAAAAATACGTTTCGACGCCACTGGGAGTTCGGGTGTTTCCGGTAAAATGGCACCGGTTAAAACTTTGTAGACTTTGTAATAAATATATGTCAAATCGAAGCCGTATCCAGCTGTGAAGCTTGGTAGGACATGAGTGTCTTATAACTAGTTTTTAAATATTTTAAGTAATTTATATTTTTTGAACCACATACTTCTCTTCAGATGCTTGATTCCAATGAGTTGCTCTAATCCCTAGTTTATGGATTTTAATATACTCTTAAGACTTCCCACCATTGTGGAAGGAAATATTGTTTCTTAAGTAATGAGTAACTGTAAATTGCAGGCTTGAAAATTGCTGTATAGCCGAAATATTTCAATTAAGATTTATTGTGGTATTGTTTTAGTTTTTCATTTATCTCATAGAATATGACCACATTTTATAGGTTGGATTCCTTTCTTGAATATTATATTTTTGTGTTCCAATATGTGTGACTTGAGGGTGGTTATAGTACTTCATATTTTAGAAAATTCCAAATAAATTCATACCCACTTGGTAACAATGAGACCAGGGCCACATTAATATCTCTTTAATTTATGAAACAATTTGGTTCAAATTTGTGACAAACCTACTAGACACTTCTAGTTAAACAAAATGGCCGACTTCCGTTTTTACCAGAAATTCTCTTATTTTCGATTTTTTAAATGAATCACCTTGTATATTTGATTTTTTTTTGGAATCTATGGTTCACATTTCATATGAAAATTTCCATTTTTTTCAATTTTGTTTTGAGATGTGCCATGAAATTGAAAATAATGTTCATATAGCCTCGAATACCTAACTTCTAACAAAAGCCAACCAATTAAGTTTAAAATGAATGCTTAAGATAAAAAACTATTTTCAAAAACGTGTTTTTACTAAGGTTTTTACCAAAATCCAACTTATTTTTCTAAATGGCACCCATTAAGGGCTACACACCATATTCTAAATATTATTTTTCAATTAAAGACCTACCACAAAAAAAAATTTGAAAAAAAAGATTTGGAAAAGAAATAAATTTGGCATATGTAATTTGAACTGCAGATTCAAAAAAATAACAAAATATACGGGGTAATCCATTTAAAAAATAAAACTTAATGGCATTTCCGGTAAAATCAGAAGCCTGCCATATTATTTAAGTATAAGTGTCAATTCAAAATTTTGTTTGGTATGTTTGTTTCAAATTTTTTAAATAAATGAAAATAATTGTCTATCACCGAGGGGCAAATCACTCTTTGTAAAAATGTACATGTATTGCCGAATTCATATGATTTCCGCAATCATATGGCGATTTCTGGATGACTGCCGCGATTTCTAGATGACTGCGGCGATTTCTGGATGACTGCGGTGATTTCCACATGACTTCCGACAGATTTCCCGTGACTGCGGTGATTTATGTATTGACTGCAACGATTTCTCTATTGATTGCGGCAATTTCCCTATTGATTGCGGCGATTTACTCGTACGTATGGATTGTCAGTATTATTGCAAAATTGCACGTATTCCGAAGGATTTCTACGATATTGTATGGCTTACCAGTTGGTTTCCAGTAAAAAAAGCATTAGCTAGGTGTTTCATCAGAAAAACTAAATTTTGTATAGCGCAGGTATAGGTGCTAAATACAATGCATTGATTTAAAACTAAGTGTGTACGACACATTTATCAATAAATCAACTTTTTGTACGTTTTTTATTCATTCAGAAGATCAGTTTTAATTGATGTGATACCCGAAATATAAACTTCTATGTAGGTACCTACATGCCTCCATTATTAGATATCTTTGATATGCCTAAATGAACAAATAGGTACAGGTAAATAAAACAAGTTAAGTAATTGGAGGTTTTTTATTTAAAAATTTCATAAAAGTGTTTTTTTAGACGTTTACAAATTTTATTGATGTTTGTTTCTAGTTTAAATGGACCAGATCCAATTGAATTGATTGGTCCGTAAAATATTAATTTATTTTTAATAATTTGAATGTCGTCTTTTTTTGGCCATAAATATTCTTCAAGTTCAGATATTAAAATTTTTATTTTACTAGTGGTTTCATCAATTATTTGAAAAATCCGACCTATGTACCACGACTCGTAAAGAATTGCGTAATATTGTTCGTTCCTAATTAAAATGCCATTGATATTTTTCTGGAGCAAAGTGTTTTCACCGGTAGTTTTTTCACTTTCTATTACATCTTTGTCATTGTAGTTATTTGGTATTTTAGCTGTTTTTTCTGGACTTGTTGTTTTTTTTGTTATTTAGTACTGCTGAGGATGTTCCTTTTACACGAGATAATCTATCAGTTGACAAGCGCCCGCCTTCAGTGGAAAATAACCAACAAAGAACTGATTTTTTTACCTTCATTTTTTTGTTGTTCACAATTATGTTTAAAAATGAGGTATCAGAATCACTTTTTGTGTAGTAATTTCGAAAATCCTTTATATTAAAATCTTCCAATCCATAAAAAATGCTCTTTTCATTATCTACATCATATATGGAAACTTAAGTTTAAAACTTAATGTTTTTTACTTTATCCGTTTTTGATTTTTCTTTAAAATTCGACATTTACACATTTTCTTAAATATCTCGAATACGGTCCATTTTAGAGAAATTATGTATAGAGCAAAAATTATAGAGAATTATATTACAAACAACTTTTATTTGAACAATTTTTATAAAAAATTATTTTTTTTTTACATTTTGTCAAATTTCTCGAATACGGACCAAATTTTGTATAGAACAAATTATAGATAATAATATTGTAAGTAACTTTTATTTGAAAAAAATTCTTCTCCAAACGTAAATAACAGATATATTCCATAAAATATAAAAATGATGACTATTAAGTACCCTTCAAATGTTCCGACTCTGCCCAAAATCTAATCAGCTAATTGGACGCCGGAATAAAGCTTAAGTTTAAAATTTGGTGTTTTTCTTTGTATCCGTTCATGAGTTATCGAGGATACAGACACACACACAGACATCATCGCGAAAATAGTCAAAACAGATTCAGGATACCCCAAAACATAAAAAACCGTCAAAAATTCGAGGTCGAAAAAAATCATGATTCCTATACTTTCCTTATCTGTAAACAGATAGGAAAGTAAAAATACATTTAAAACCCTAATTAAAACGTGTATCACCCCAACCCCCATAAAATACCAACAATTTTGTTATACATTAAAAAAAAACTAGATGAAAAGGGACAATTTTTGACC